CCACAGGGGAGCCAGACAGCAACTGGTGGTCATTAAAGTGGTGGGAATGGTCAGACTGGAGATCAGAGAACAGAAAGTGATAAATATTGTCTAGTAAAAGGGCAGAATTCATTGGAGTGTACATAGACGGACGTTTAGTGCTGTTCTGGGATAGTGGAGGACAAGTCTCCCCCTAAAGCTGGGAGGAGAGTGGTTTGGTCTGACTTGCAGATTATAAACAAAGAACCTCGTGGGAACTGGGAAGATGCAGCTGTGTGGGGAGGGCAGAGCATGGTGCAGTGTGCTGAGGGTGCAGTGTGCTGAGTGTGCGCACTGCCTGCAGCCCAGGCACAGCTCCTGATCCCCCTACTGATCACTACACACAGAGGACATGTCTGCAAAGATCACACACTAATGGAGGCCATACACACGTCAATAAATCAGCAATTATTTCCCCAGATCAATCTCCCCTGATAGAAATGATTTATAGTCAACAACTCAATCGATCGATATGACACACACACAAGGCATGGATTTCAATCGTTAGTTGGAAGGTAAGATTGTATATGCAACATGCAAACTCATAATCTGATTCATGATCAAAGCATCCCCCGATCACTGCAAGACGATCGATAATTTTCTACCTCTGAACGAATCTCATCTTAATGTGATTGTAATCCTCAGACATCAAAAATGAACAAAGCATACCCCTCTATAGTGTGTTCTTGTCTCAGTCCAGAGCACTAAGTCTCATTTTTGTCTGCTGCTTCATTCCTCTGCTATCAGCATGAAGCACTTCTGACAAGTTTTCCTGACACCAAGAGAAAAAAGGTGACGGGGGACAGGGGTGTATTTACCACAAGGCAAACAAGGCACTTGCCCCGGGGAGGCATTTTTCAGGGGGGCAGCACCTGCCCCCCAGATGAAGGGATGAAAGAAGGGATACGCGTGCCATGGGAACCAGGTGGGATCCGAGAGAGGCTGCGGTCTGCTTGATGGTGTATGTAGAGCCTGAGTCTCATTCCTGGGGATGTCCTCTCTATCGCTGGGTGGGAGTAGTGGAAGGCTCTCCCAGGTGGGGGTGTTGTTGGCCAATGTCATGCTCTCTCCACGGGAGGGAGAAGGGGGGGGGTTGGTGTTGGTCGGTGTCCATAGGGGCAGATGATTTTTGTGTTGCCTAGGGCAGCACAAAACCTAAATACACCATTGACGGGGGAGGGACCTCCAGCAGAATGTCCCTTCACTCCAATCAGCTCTTAGAACTCTCCTCACTGAGCTCTGCAGAGTGTAATTTCAGCTCTCCGCCCTCTTTTTTTCCAAACTCTCAACAAGCTTTCTAAATTCAACACTTTGAACAGATGTAGAGAAGAGAATCCTACAGATAAACAGGTACAACTTATGTAGGAGGATTTGTCTCATCTCTGTGTATCACCTGCGGCCAGTCACTTCACTGGTTATATGTAAGGGGTTACATACACTTTTAGGCACACTTGTAACGTTAGCTGTGTAAAGTCACGTTTTTGCATTCATGTTTAGAAGTGTTTTTTCGCGTTTGCAGTTTTTTTTAGCATTTTTTTTACCAAAGAAATCCAAAAACGTCCGTTTGCCGCGATTTACGGCGTTTTGCCGTGTTTTTTCAGCGTTAGAGTGTTTTTACAGCTAAAAAACTCTAGAAAGCCACTAGTTCTGGGGATTTTTCCAGCCAAAAAATGCTGATTCCAGTCTATGTGTGTATGGACACATAGGATAACATGCTGGGGGGTTTACTGGCTGTAGAAAAACACGTCAAAAGCCAAACACAGCCGCTATAAAAACGTCCCGTGTGTATGAGGACTAAAGTAGAACTAAAGACAGAACTTTTTTTGGACAGAATAAGGGAGGTGTGTCCTGTTGGAGAGATTTCCCTTCACTTCCTGTTCTGCAGACCAGAGGCGGACTGACCATTTGGAAACTTGGGCACTGCCCGAGGGCCCGGGGTCAGTAGGGGGCCCCATGAGATGCCCCTGGTACCTTTTTCATAGGCTTTTTTGAGTTTGGGCAGGGACACAGGGGCCCCATGATCCCCTATTACCCGGGGGCCCCATGAGTTGTCAGTCCGCCCCTGCTGCGGACACAACAGGAAGTGAGAGGAAATCTTTCCAGAGTTGTCACCAAAGCTAGTGACTCCAGTGGAAGATTTCCCCTCTATCCTGCTCTGGTGACAACCTAAACTTTGGAATGTTCTTTTAGTTTCAGTTGCAGTGATAATGGAAAACAGGACAAATAGGGTGACTCTCTCTAAGTCTAGGTTCACCTCTAAGCATTTTCCGCAGCATTTTGCAGAAACGCAGTACAGTCCATTTAACATGATTTCCTATGGGACAGGTTCACATCTCTGCATTTTCACCCGCTGCATTTTTTTTGAAAGGGTCAGGGACTTTTTTTAAACGCAAAAAGTTGCGTTTTTGGTTCTATACACTTATTATTATTATTATACAGGATTTATATAGCGCCAACAGTTTGCTCAGCGCTTTACAATATAAAGGAGACAATACAGCAATGATACAGTTCAATACAAGAGGGATAGGAGGGCCTGATCCTTGGAGCTTACAATCTAGGAGACTTCACTTCAATGCAGACGCTGCAGAAAAGCATGTAGTGATTTGTGATGTGTTTTTGATGCGTTTTTTATGTGTTTTGTGATTTATTCTGCCCAACAACAAGTTGAAACCACAAAGACGCATCAAAAATGTGGCAAAAACGCATGTGCAAAAAAAACACAAAACGCAGTTCAGAAATGGCTAGGTGCAGGGGCGGACTGACCATTTGGAAACTCAGGCACTGCCCAAGGGCCAGGGGTCAGTAGGGGGCCCCATGAGATGCCCCTGGTACCTTTTTCAAAGGCTTTTTTGAGTTTGGGCAAGGACACAGGGGCCCCATGATCCCCTATTGCCCGGGGGCCCCATGTGTTGTCAGTCCGCCCCTGGCTAGGTGTGAACCTAGCCTTAAGCCTGGTACACACAATGAGAATATTGGACGAATTATCGTCCGTATTTTTTTGCATACTAGTCTCATACTGAAAATGAAGAGGTCACTAGATTAATGAAAATTCTGGTAATACGGAATACAACTTCCCACGACAATGTATTGTATTGTATTCTTTTGTTTCTGAGCATGCGCGGCCCTGGTCACTCCATCAGTACAAGTACTGTACCAGGGGCGGACTGACCATTTGGAAACTTGGGCACTGCCCGAGGGCCCGGCGTCAGTAAGGGGCCCCATGAGATGCCCCTGGTACCTATTTCATAGGCTTTTTTGAGTTTGGGCAAGGACACAGGGGCCCCATGATCCCCCATTGCCCAGGGGCCCCATGAGTTGTCAGTCCACCCTTGTACTGTACTGATTAAATGAAAATCGTTCATTCTGTTATCTTACGAGAAAAATCTTCGTGTTTTGTCCCTTCAAATAATATCACACGAGCTGTTGTGATTGGCTTTCAAATGTTGTGTACTAAGAATCAAATTATTGGACAAAGGTTCCAAAATGTTTTTTTTTGGTCTGATTTTGTGATCGCATGTTCTAGGCTGAAGGCTCCATGCACACGGGGCGTTTTAATAACGCTGAAAAATTTAGCTGTGTAAAGTCGCATTAAAAACGTTAGTTTTTCAGCTTTTTTTAGCGTTTTTGCATTAGTATTTAGCTGCGTTTTTCCACGTTTGCAGTGGAGAAGGATTAGAACTCCAGTCAGGCATTTATTGCTGTCTGTGGAGATGCACCTTCTAAATTTGTCCTGTTAAGGCTCCATTCACGCTTGTGAGACTTGGCGTGCGACTTTGAACATCAAAATCGCATGACAAATCGCAGACCATTCTTTTCCGTTCCATTCGGTGCAACTTAAAATCATAGCAACTTTGAAAAGTTGCCTGCACTGCTTTGATGTGACTTTTGAAGTGATTTTAGTCCAGAGAATGTAAAGTCGCATCAAAGTCTCACTGGAGATCGTGCGACTTTGGAGTCGCGCAAGTGTGAATGGAGTCTAAGGTACCTTTCACACTAGTGTGGCGACCAGGGGTGGAGTGACAACTCATGGGGCCCCCGGGCAATAGGGGATCATGGGGCCCCTATGTCCTTGCCCACAATCAAAAAAAGCCTATAAAAGGTACCAGGGGTATTTCATGGGGCCCCCTACTGACCCCGGGCCCTCGGACAGTGCCCGAGTGCTCAAATGGCAGCTGCCATTCTACCACCCTCTGAAAAGTGATGTGATGCAGATCACTTTTCAGAGGGGTGATAGAGATTTGGAGTGGGAGGAAGATGATTTGTGCTGGGAGAGGGTATTTGGTGGGGGTTGTGCTAGAAAAGGTAATATGGTAGAGGGCATTTATGCTGGCAGAGGGGTTTTGGAGTGGGAGGAAGAGGATTTGTGCTGGGAGGGGGGATTTGGTGGGGGTTGTGCTAGAAAAGGTAATGTAGTAGAGGGGGGAGGACATTTTTGCTGGGAGAGGGGATTTGGTGGGGGTTGTGCTAGAAAAGGTAATATGGTGGGGGGGGGCATTTGTGCTGGGAGAGGGGATTTAGAGTGGGAGGAAGAGGATTTGTGCTGGGAGGGCGGATTTTGTGGGGGTTGTGCTAGAAAAGGTAATATGGTGGGGGGGGGGGCATTTGTGCTGGGAGAGGGGATTTAGAGTGGGAGGAAGAGGATTTGTGCTGGGAGGGCAGATTTTGTGGGGGTTGTGATAGAAAAGGTAATGTAGTAGAGGGGGGAGGGCATTTTTGCTGAGAGGGGGGATTTGGAGTGGGAGGAAGAGGATTGTGCTGGGAGGTGGGATTTGGTGGGGGTTGTGCTAGAAAAGGTAATGTAGTAGAGAGGGGAGGACATTTTTGCTGGGAGAGGGGATTTGGAGTGGCAGCAAGAGGATTTGCGCTGGGAGGGGAAATTTGGGGGGCAGAAGATTTGTGCTTGGAGGGGGAAATGTATTTTTTTGGGGGGGAGGGATTGTGATGGAGGCACATGGGGAGAGAGAGGATTTGAGCTAAGGGGGATGGGGATGGGGGGGGTGGGGGGGAGAGTTGTACTGAGAGGGGGGCTTTCAGCAGGGGGGTGGATTTGTACTGAGCTGAGGGGGAATATATGTTTAGGGAGCAAGCATGCAGATTAGTGCTCCATTTCTTTTTTTTTGGGGGGGGGGTAGATTTTTGCGGACACATAATGCTCAAAGATCTTGAGGGGAAATACAAACTGACATGTTCGCCCCGGGCTCTGGGTGACCATGTCTCGGCACTCAATGCAGCCTTTTTGCAGCCACTTCTTGTCCACGTGTGCTCAGGTGATGCATGGCATTTCTCGGGTGGATTTCCTAGTGTAGCAAAGTTCCCAAAATGCTTTGATGCAAGTGCTGGTCCCTTTCATCCCATGCCCTACCACCAGAGGCGGACTGACAACTCATGGGGCCCCCGGGCAATAGGGGATCATGGGGCCCCTGTGTCTTCGCCCACACTCAAACCACACCCAAAAAAGCCTATGAAAGGTACCAGGGGCACCTCATGGGGCCCCCTACTGACCCCGGGCCCCGGGCAGTGCCCGAGTTCCTAATTGGTCAGTCCGCCCCTGCCTACCACCCCCTAGGCTGTGTGAAGGCAAAAGGGGGGGTGTATCTTATTGGGCCCATTCACACCAGATGCAGTAGGATGCATTTTTGCTGCACTTCAACTGCATAGACAATCCAAAATCCAGGTTGTCCTATAAACATAGTTCACACTATTGCAGTGAAGTCCAGTCAGTGAAAAAAAAAGTACAGTAAGGGTCTGTTCTCACTAGAACACAGTGCCGGAAACAGAGCGGGTGTTAACAACACCCCAAATGTAGGTCGCAAAAGTACCATGTGATCCGGTTGCAGTGGATTTTCAAAAGCATGCACTACTTTTGGAAATGCACTGCAACCAGATTGCATGGTACTTTTGCGACTTGCATGAAAATGAATGGGCTAAAATCATGTCGCTCAGATCTGAATGTGAACTGTGATTCCTAGTGTGGACTGGCCCTAAGCTGCATTTTTCTGCAAATGCATGAAAATGCACCACAACGAAGTGCAGTGCATATAGAAGCCCAAAGAAGATGGAAATGATCTCAAAGGAAATGCAAGCTTATGCAAAATGCACCGCAAATGCATGCAAATGTGCGCAAAAACGCACATCAAATGCACGTCACCGTGCGTGCAAAAACGTGCAGTAAACATGCAGTTTCTGGTGTAAATAATTTTTTTAATCTCATTTTTCAAGTCCACGTTGCAAGCTTTAGTTAACCCCTTGAGGCTGAGCGCACGCAAATATGTGGCCTCTCGGCGTCTGGGCTTTGACGCATATTTGCGTGCCATTAGAAAATACATACGTGCTGAGAGTGCGTGCCCTGCGCGCTCCCCGCACATGTGTCTGTGACTCATGAAAAGGTCCCAATCCCCCCCAGCGATCGGGAGCTTTTCTGATCATGTGACCACAGCGGTCTCATGACCCTAGAAACCCCGCCCACCTCCCGGCTTCTGAAACTCTTAAAGGGCTGGGAGGCGATGGCACGAAGAGGTTAAAAAAGGAATGAGTAGATGGACACCGCCATGAGGACATGTACAAATGCAAAAAACAGTAAAAAACATACCAGAGAGGGTCTTTGCAGCATACAGGGCAACATTAAAAATATAGTTTGTATTTAAATAATACTTCGGAATACCTTAAACCTGCATGTGAATTGGCGCACCCATTCAACGTACTCCTCCAAAAGTGACATAAAAAAACAACATATCTGGTCAATGACATCACCCAGGATCTTCAACTGCTCTGTTTACATTACCACAGTAGCCAAAACTGTCATTAGGTGTCATTTAGTGACAGGAGCAGCCGGGCAGCAGGTAGTCGGGCATTGCTCATCTGTTCTACATTGTTGGGCAATGTGATTGACATTAGATTTATATCAGAGAACATTATTTATTTATTTTTAATAAAGGACTTATTGTACAGCACGTCTGCATTTTTATTTGCTATCTAAGTTTTTTTTGGTGAAATAGTAACTCATTACTCATTCATGTAGGGAGCTGAGCTAGGTATCTGGGGTCCCTTATTCCAAAGTCCAAGAAGTCCCCCTTCTTGCAGACCATCACAACCCCCAGGCCAGAAATTAGGAGATTAGGCCCTTGTCCACATCAACATGGCCAAAAGGGGCATGGTTTTGCTAGGGGCATGGCTTTGCCAAGGACTCTCCCAAAGTTAAGGGCATGTGGCATTGTACAGTCCAGGAGGTGGATGCACGGTCACTGCGCCCCCCTTTCCTTTTCCTGCATGTAAATCCAACATCATTTTACACCATCAAGTACTGTAGATCGAGTGTTGGTAACAATGAGTGATGACACATGTCCTGCCACAACTGTTGAAAACAACGATCTTCTCCCACCATAAATGACATTCCATGGGCAGGTGCTGAATGTAAACAAACAGGCAAGGAGTGATGGGTGACATGGTCATGGTCATATTTGTTCAATGATGTGATCTGGATTCCCAATTACTTTTTTACACTTTGAAATAAGCTGGTGTAATTCTGTGTCTGAAAACATCTCTTCCTTCTACGTCAAATTGGGGCAGGTATACATGTGTCGGACTTCTCTACCACAAGGTACGTTATGGCTACAGTGCCCTTTGCCCTTAGAATTTGCGAATGTATGCTTCAGGTAGCGCAAATGGTGACATGGTTAACGATCTTTCCCATCCTTTAAGTCACTCTTACATCTGTCATCCTGGCCCATTCTTTTAATGATGGTACTTAATACAATACGTCCTTAGGATTTGATTCTGATAACAATTCCAATGCTTAATGAAATACTTCCACCTGCATCAGCTATAGGTTTGGGCAAACTAGCCAAATATGGATGTTTGTTTGCTGAACTGTAGGCAAGCATATTCAACCTGAACCCAAAGCTCAAGCTTGGTCTTAATGAGGATGGAGGAAAGCTCCCTCTCCTTTACAGTATTCTAGGTGTCCAAAACCTGTTACCCCCACGAGAGAAGCCTGTGTCAAGAAGGATCAGGCAAAGACCGCTTTCTTTACTTGCATGGGGTTGTGCCGGTACGAAAGGATTGCCTTCAGGCTGAACAATGTGCCACATTCCAGAGGACTGTGGATCTCTGCCTTTGGCTACATGAAACTTGCATAATATATGCTTTCATCCACTACATCTTGCACACTTAGATGCTATGTTGACCCAGCTGCACCAGTATGGGCTGAAGCTCAAACCCAAGAGTACAATATATTCAATCCTGAGACAGAGTTTCTAGGACACATCTTCTGCAATAAGTTGTACCCCTAATCCCTAAAAATATATAGGACATACAGGAAAGGAAGCCCCAAACAACTGTGACCAAAGTCAGAACTTTTCTAAGGTTGCCAGGATATTATTGGCAATTCATCATGTACTTTGTCCATCATTCTGCCCCATTTCAAAAGCTCCTACATGGGGTAGGCCATAAGGGGGTCACATGAATGTGGAATGTGGAAAGTAGGAATCAAAACAACAGGAGGCATTAGATATTGACTCTTGTGCTGGTCTTAGATGACCTCTCTCTCCATTACAATTTAAGAATCAAGTCCAGTACTCAGGGCCTAGTTGCCATACCCTTGCATGTAGTAGGCGATCAGGAGATGGTCATCTCCTACACCAGTTGAAGCAACTAAAAGGAATACTACAAACTACAGCTCCTCCAGACTGGAACTGTTGACTGTGGTCTGGGTAGTCACCAAATGTTTTGCTGAGTACTTGACAGGACCCACAATTGAGGTCTGGACAGATAACAGTGCATTGGTGCATCTCCAAACTGGCAAACTTTGTGCTCTGGAGCAATGTTTGGCAGTCTGTCTCGTGAAGTTTGAATTCTTCTGGCATTTTCACACTGGAAACAGCAAAAAGTCAACAGTAGCCCTGCCACTGTACTAACTAGCCTGGCCTCATCAAGATGCGGAACAAAAAGCTGAAGTGATAGAAAGCCCCAAATTGACTGGATTAAGGCCTACGAGTAGGCCTCAGATTAATGATAAACTTCATCCAAATAAATGAAGAGTATAACTGAACAGAGACACAGCAAGAGGATTCAGCTGATACAAGTATGGTGGTGGCCCAGTCCCAGAGAAAGATCAAAGCTATTACTAAAAAGCAAAAAACTGCTGAGTGAGTGTCCCCATCTCATCCTGAGGGATGGCATACTGTGCTGCAGATTAACCTGGCAGGTCGTACTGTAAAGGGCCCTGGCCCTCTCTGTGGCAGAAAGAATCCACATGAATGCAGGACACTGGGGTGTCCAGAAGTTCACCTAGTTCAAGAGACAAGCCATGTGTGAGGCTCTGTTCCAATTAGTTGAACAAGTCTGACGATTCTGTGTATTCTATTTAGTGTCAAATGGAGTTAAGGCCTGGATTCCACTTCTGACTTGACACATATCTGCCTCACTGGAAGTACTAACCATCGACTTTCTTACACTCAACACTTGTCAGAAGATGGATAACATCAAGTTGTAGTTGTAATGAACTTCTTTACCAAGTTGGTAGTAGGAGAACCACCACCAGATCAACACCCAGATAGTGTGGAAGCACTTTTGCCTTCTTTATAGCTGCCTGGAGAAGATACTTTAAGACCAGGTGTCTAGTAGTTGATATGGTGCAGTTACACTTATTTTGTAGTTTCCCCACCCTCCAGTTGTCACAATCTTGCCAGCCAGCTAGCCAGCCAGCCCTGCATGATCATATGCAATCCTTTGGAAAGTTCTGTAATAGAAGCTCATACTCCAAACCAAACACTCCATAGACATGAGTGTGCAGTTAATGTAAAGGGGTGGTATTTTTCTTTACATAAAGAGTCAAAGGGAGTGCTTGGTCTACGGACCGCAATGAGCTCTTCCTGGCACCTTGAGTGTGAAATATTTATTGACCTGAATGGTTCAATAAAAACAAGTGTTCTTTGCATTGCAGTAAATGAAATGCAGTCTGTGATAACCCAAATGTAGGTTGGATTGCCAGTCCACTTTGATGTTACAGCCTACATTCATCTCAATGGCTTCCCTAGAGCAGGAGGTCCAGGTGTGTGAAAACACACCCTCAATGCATCTCAGTCAGGAAAAGTTCTTCAGTTGCCATGATGCAATGTACGTATTGAGTCGCTTGCTTTGTGTAAGCACATTTGTTTTAGAGGTCCTGGATTGCAAATTTCCTTCTCTAACAAATACCCTTCCTTCCAGTACACTACTATCCAAATGTTGTATTTACTTGCCCCATCTCCTTCAAGATCTTTGTTGTGTGGCCTGCTGAAACTTTATTTTTTCCAAAAGGAAGGCCTTCCCATTTGGGTCCCAACTATAGATAGTCTTTTCATTGAAATAAATGGAGAATGTGGTGTGCAAATGAGGAAGCCCAGCCAGAACACTTCTGGAGTGAATGTGTGAGGCTTTTACAAGGACAGAGATGGGTTAGTATAACAATTGGGTTGCTGGGGAGGTGGAAGAGGGGTATTTACACTATAAAAGAATAGTTATTCTCTAATGCCCTTCTTCCCATGAGCACATATTTAGCTTCTCTTTGTTTTCTGTTCACTCTGTCTGAAAGAGTGAGAAGAATAAGCCCTTTATAAGTGATGGCTTTGGGCTTAAACATGGCTGAGGACCAGGGTGAGCTCAAGCATGTTCAGATCCTAGTCTGAACTCACCTGAGCAATCCCACTGGGAAGCTGTCACTGTACTGGGCTTCTTGTATACGTGTGACTGTGGGGTGGGTGAATGCCTCGGTCGCTTATGATTGGTGCAGTACTTATGACAGATTCTTCCTGGTGACATCACTCAAGTAGGATCCGAATATGCCTGAGCTCATCCCTACTAAGGATTGTCTCTCCATCCCAAAGTAACACATTGAATGTCTTAGTGGCCAATCAACATTAACTCTTTTCCACTTTTTTCAAATACTACAAAAAAAGTTTGTCTAGGTTTGAGCTTTTAGAAGAACTTCAGTCCTACAACTGTACAAGGAAAGTTGGGAAAATTCCTGATTGTAAGGCACCATCCCCAAAAGAACAATTAGATGAAGAAGGAGGAACCCCCTAGGACTTGGGAGGCTTAAATAGCACCAAAAATATAAAAAAAGTACAAATTTTTATTTGTGAAAAAATTGTAGTGACACATAGACATACAATACAATACATCATACAGAGTCATAGTACAGCATCGAAACCAACTTGTATTGTATTGTATGTCTATGTGTCACAACACTTTTTTCACAAATAAAAATTTGCACTTTTTAATATTTTTGGTACTATTTAAGCCTTCAAAGTCCTAAGTCCTAGGGGGTCCCTCCTTCATCTAGCAGTCCTACAACTGGGCACACATGATTGTACCTACAATAGGTACTGAATGATTGTACGATCCGATATGTAAGATAGCATTGTACAGATATCCAAACATAAAATCCATATATTGATTTTTAAAAAATGGATGCGGTTTTGTAAGGCAGAATTTTTCTATAAGATCTATAAAGATATTAAAGCTGTCCCTTCTAACTTTACAATCCGTTTGGCAAATAAGCTGCATTTATTTACTACTCAACCAAAATCCCAATCCTACAATCAGATTTTAAAGTGTGTGTCCAACTTATCCAATGTTTTCCAAAAGTAATATTGGTGACACATAATTGTTAAACACTCTGATGGGATGGGGACAGTGACAACAGCATGAAAGTACAAGCTCTAGTTGTTCAAACAGAGACTGGTATGCTGTAATGTGAGAGTGTGTGATGTTACCTCAGATTTCACTTCGACCTTTAAACACATGAATAACTGGTTATTAGCTAAGGCTGACCAAAATATCTTCTTTATTATTGTGTCCAGCAATGTTTTTACACAATTGCTTCTTTATAGAAGTCATAATGACTACTGGCCATACCTTACTGTAAGTCTTAATCAAGGTAGTTCAGACAGGAATAGGCCTGTCTTCAGAATGTAGACACAGAAGACATATCCTGCTGTATAGCACAAGAAGTGGAAATCAGTTTTCCCAGCTGACCTAGAAACCATTCTATGGGGCTTTTTTTATCAATGTACAGTCACAGAGTAGCCTTTTACCCTAGGGGCACATTGCAGGGGTTGGATACAGTTATTGGGCTGTAAGAGCAATCCCAGTGCACTCAATGTTTGTTAACTACACTTGCTGGGAGACCACAAGTTGATACTCTAAGTCGATCCGTGGTTTTAAGCCCCCGACTGCCCACTTACAATCAGGCATGTTGCAGCTTGAATGGGCACATATTCTCGGGGTCACAATGCCTTGCATCGCAGTTTGGCAATTTCAATGCTACATGCTGAGTTTGACAGGTGGCATCACCTATCAGAGTCTTCCATGTAAGTGAAAGAGGTTGCACCACAACGTGTCGAGCTACCTGCTTGTTTTGCAGTTGCAAAAGGTTTTCGCAGTACAAAATGACCATTCACCAAAAAAAAAAAAAAAAAAAAAAAAAAGGAGCCTAAAGATCTACAGGCATCTGCAGGCTTTATGCTTGTGTTGATGGCATCAGTTTGGGAAGCTTCTGAGATCATTCAGAATTAATTGACAGGAGCATTCATCTGACTTGCAGTTGATCTGCTTTGGAGCCTGCAGTTGACCTGCTTTGGAACGTGCAGTTGACCTGCTTTGTACCTGCAGTTGACCTGCTTTGGACCTTGCAGTTGACCTGCTTTGGACCTGCAGTTGACCTGCTTTGGACCTGCAGTTGACCTGCTTTGGACCTTGCAGTTGACCTGCTTTGGCATTCTCATAGACTTGGAATATAAAACCTATTTGAAGAAAACAAAACCGATTGAAGGTATTAACACCCCATACAAACCCATACAAGATATTAACACAGGTCGCTACCAAAGAAGACCAAGGCCACTTTACACAGTACAGACCATTGTAGCATTCAGAATAGTACAGTACCATGCACCAAACCCAGGGAACCTAAAAGTATATCTAAAGCACATTTTTGGATAAAGGATACTAGGGTTAGAACCAATCAGGTTTTTTATTGTTGCAAATGGGCCACTGTACAGATTCACTTTGTCTATTTGCCTTGGAGACTGTTGTCACTGAGACTTAAATTAAAGGAAAATCCAAACATGTGAGTTGTCATTGGAACAGGAACAGGGAGGGGAAATCTTCCATTAGGGACACTTTCTCTGGTAAAAACTATCTAAGAGAGGATTTACCTCAATTTCTATTGGGTCAACAAGGCAGGACAAGAAGTGAATGTGGACACAAATATAAAAATTTCATAAATTTTCAAACCCTCTTGAAGCTATCTATAAAAAGCTAAATAATTGTTAAGAAGTGAATGTGGACACAAAATAAAATTTTCAGCACAATGTTCTTATCACACCCTCGGTGAAGGCATCTATACAAAAAAGGTCTGGCTACTGAACCCAACAATACAACAAACAAGAGATCCTGTGCTATTGGCTGGGATTTGTTCACACATATCCACAGTGTCCCTCCTAAGCTCCAGCCATGTCATAAAACACACATGAGCTAAGCTATACTTCTTTAGAAACTTTCCAGACCTGCTTAGAAGTCCCTGCACCTTCTCAGCCAGGGGCAGACTGACAACTCATGGGGCCCCTGGGCAATAGGGGATCATGGGGCCCCTGTGTCCTTGCCCAAACTCAAAAAAGCCTATGAAAAAAGTACCAGGGGCATCTCATGGGGCCCCCTACTGACCCCGGGCCCTTGGGCAGTGCCGAGTTTCCAAATGGTCAGTCCACCCCTGTTCTCAGTATAGACAGATCTGCTTTGAGCAACTGTAAGGCTGTCCATAGATTGCCCAAAAGCTACAAGCAATGCACCTTACTGACCAATGTTCCAATATATCTAATCAATCAATATCTATCAAAATAAAAACAAAGTCCAGGAGGAATTGGTCAGTAAAAAAAAAAATTCTTGCATTTTCAAGGTGGTCATAGCAAGCGCAGCATAATCAAATGATTTCTCATTTTATATTTTTAAGGTATGCCAACAAAAAACAAAATCAAATGAATGAACATTTTGTGAAGTGGTTGCAGTTTTGACAAGGATATCAACTTTAATCTGAATGGAATTTACATGAACAGTAAACATGTGTATGCACCATTAAAGGAAATTATTATAAGCACAAAAAAATTTGTAATGAATCTAATGACAAAAATGCGAATATAATGCATGTGGGGCCAGCATAGGTTAGACCGAGGCTTTTAGAATGCTAGGTAGAAAGGCTCTGGCAATTTGCTTCTACAGTTTGGTGTGAATGGAGATTATTACATCTAACAATAGCATCAGCCAATCACTGCTCTCCCTGCAGCAGCTGGGAACCTATAAAAAGGACAACTTATCTTTGTTCTGAATTTATTGTTCTTGCTTTGAGTCCTGGTGTTATTGATTTTATAGCTCTCACTGATGTTCCAATTACAAACTAAGAATGGTTTAGAGCACTGTTTCCCAAACTTAGACCAGTCATGTAATGTCATTACAACCATTACACCTTCCAGATGCCACCTATACTGTGAAATAATAGCATGTCCGCAAATTTGGTCAAGGAGCTCATCCACAAATACACACTACTTTCTATTGCTGAGGTCTCATCATGTGCATCCACTTCATTCCCATCCCTTCTGAGAGAGTCACTCCCGAGGAACTACACTAAACTCCTCAGCTTTACTCCAGGGTCCATCATAGCACATTCTCCTAGCTCATTTTGTAAATCAACAGGCACCCACTGCCACTGGTGGCTACTGCTAATGTGCATATATTACTGCAGGGCTGATCATTCACCAGTCCGGCCATGTATGGTGGTAACATGTGCCACCAAAAGTAGACTTTTGGAAATGCAACAGCATGGGACTAAAGTTCAGCTCTCCACCCTGAGGTTGGGGGCTACCAAAGAGACTGCCCTTGACATGTACTGAATATGAGGATATTGCGGAATTAAAGCAAATGGTTATAGAAAGAAATAAGGGCTAAGGACAAACTCTTTTGGACGTTAAAGAAAACAAGTCTGCATGCATTGTATTAATGAACCATCAAAAGCATTTCTACAGATCTAAAACTTTGATTCAGTCTCTAAATTACTGCATGTATAATTTTTGCTAAGCCAGTATAAAGGGACAGTAGTTGTGAAAAAAAGAATTTTGTGGTTTCGAGTAGTTCATTTTTACATATTAAAGTGGTTGTAAACAGTAGCATAACTAGAACCTTTAGGGCCAAGGTGCTGACCCTTGGCCAGGGCCCTTCCCTGCGAACCCAGTAGCAAGTGCAACCTTTGCAACCCTAGTAGTTCCGCCACTGGTGTCAGTCTTTTTTTGTTTTTTTTATTTTATTTTCTATTACTTTTTTTTACCATTTTTAATTTTTTTAACACAGTTTACTATGTTCCAGTTATAAGTAGGCATTCAGTGATTCGTACGGTTCACTGACTCTCCATTCTGACAGATCCCCCACAGCAGCAGGTGGGAGAGGGGAGGGGGGAAACCCAGCAGAGCTGCAGAGGACGAGGGTGGGCCAAGGGAAAGAAAGGGGCTGGGAAAGAGCAGGGGGGGGGGGGGCAGAGAGCACATGAGAGCACCAGAAAAATGCTGGAAAGGAGGAGGAGCAGCAGGGGCGGCTGCATATAGAGGAACCGGTCACTCCATTTTCCTCCTGTAGCCACTGAATGCCTGCTTACAGCATTCAGCGGCTGCTGGAGGAACATGGAGAGGTCGGTTCCCCTATATGCAGTTGCCTCCACTGCTCCTCCTATCCAGATGTACATGGGGGCCGCATGGGCCCCCTGTAGCATGGGGTCAGGTCACAATTATGACTGCTGCGACCCCTGTAGGTACACCCGATTGTAAACCCTTACATATACCCAGTGAAGGGACTATCCTCAGATAATAACCAGGGATGAAACAAATGAAAACTACATAAGTTGTACTTGTCTATCCGCAGTCTTCTCTTCTCTACATCCGTTCAGAGTGCTGAATTTTGAAGCTTGTCTGAGAGTTCAGAAAAAAGAGGGCGGAGAGCTGACATTACACTCAACACACTGAACAGAGCTCAGTGAGGAGAGCTCTGAGAACTGATTGGAGGGAGAAGGCACTTCCCCCCCCTTCACACAGCTCACGGGAACAGAGATGAGGCTGTCAATCTGCTGGAGGTGCCTCCCCTGTCACCATTTTTTCTATTTGTGTCAGGAAAACTTGTTAGAAGTGATTCATGTTGACAGCAGAGGAACAAAGCAGCAGACAGAAATGACACTTAGTGCTCTTAATTGAGACAAGTACACAATATAGAGCAATAGGCTTTGTCCATTATTTATGTCTGAGGTTTGCAACCACTTTAATTCTTTATGGTCCACAGAACTAAAGGGCATTATAAAGGTGTGCCCTTTCCCATATTTTTTTCTGAAAGGTGTCCCTCTCTCTCATCCTAAAAAGTCTGGATGAGAGGAATTTGTGTGTTTGCCTTCCCAATCAAGAGAGCCACTCAGTAGTGACCAGTGTGATAACTGCCACTTGTTCCTAATTTCCAGTGTCGGTTCATGGTTTTGAAGCCTGGTTCCTGTAAATATTTGTCCCTGGAAATGAAGAACTGTAATTGTTTTTTGCTTTGGACAGCAGATAGAAGGATTGGAACCTCTGTCCCTCTGTTTGATCTGGTGGACACTGTCACCCAGACAAGAAAGTGATCAGAATTATAACCTTTTTACAGCTGTCACCAGAACACCAGGGGTAATCTTCCAATGGGGGGAACCAATGCTGGTGACAGCTCAAGTGGAAATTTCTCCTCATGTTGGAGATGCTCCTTTTCAGTTCCCTGTTGTGCCTTCAGAACAGAAAGTGAGAAAAACTTCAACAGGACAAAGACAACTAAAATAGGGTTTAAATCATTCCCTATTTTATCCAGAAAGAATGTTTTAGCTATAACTATACTTTAAAGTGGTATGAAAGCCAAAACCAAAAATTTTATACATTGCAGCTTACCAGTCATTAGATGTGGTGGCTGCATTAGTTTTCTTTTTTTAGGCTTTTTCCTTCTGGTTTTTACCTGGTGATCTGGCCAGTAACGCACCTCTTGTGTTAGAGTGCCTACACTCTGGATGAAGGAGCAAAGGAGGCATCTTTGGACAGCAGCAATGTCAGTCCTGGGGGAAGTGGAGTGTTAGACGAACTAGCAGAGTTAAATACACATCTAAAAATGTGTAGGCTTAGAAATGTTTGTTTTTGGGCAGGGCTGCTGTTAGAAACCATGGGGCCCCGCAAATCCAACCCTCCCTCCTCTCCCCCCCCCCCATCTTGCTATGCTTCAGTTATGAATGAACACAGCAAGTGATCAGTAGCAATCACTCATTGTGGTCATTCAGGGAAGAATCTGGTAAATGTGACATACTTACTGGACCCATTCCCTACCCTCCATCCTGAAGGATCCCATGGTCTGCTGGTAGCTGCCAGTGGGAAGGAGAGGAGGGAATGCAGCGGCGGCACTGTGGGGGTGGGGGCACACAGGGGGCATGGACAGCAGGGAAAACATATGATGCACAGGGAGGGTGATGGGTGCAAGGGGGGCAAATACTCCATATGATCCCCTGTATGGCTCCCTCTGTAGCAGCCAAAAGCCAGCAGGAGAGAAAGGAAAAGAAACCAGCTTTAAGCTGCTGCAGAGGGAGCCATAGAGGGGATCAGTTCCAGTAACTGCCCCCTCCCCCTGCTGTGCCAATCACCCTCCCTGCCCACATCCAATTCTCCCAGTTGCCTGGGCCCCCATGCTGGCTTGGGCCCCATACAGGAGGACTGGTGGTACCCCCTTATCCACGGCCCTGCATGTGAGTTTATTACTGCTTTAAGGAAAAACTGTCAGGCTGGAAATAAAAAAACTCAATTTACAACTTGTTGATATTCTGCAAGCTTCTTGGCTGCCATCTTTATCCGTGTTTTATTAATTAGTGAGTCATTGACCCAGAAAAAGTATGCGGCCATTGAAGCTGGAACTCCCAACCTACATACTTGTTCCATGTCAGTGACTCACTATGTGGTGACGCACAGACTTGAAACTGGTACCGTTACAGGCAAGTTGGCACCTGCCATATTTCTGTCCTGAATAAATTCACTTTTATAGAAAAGCCATAATTGTGATCATTCAGAACAGCATTCAGTTTCATGGGATTAAATACACAAGATGAGCAGCAAAGTGTGCCTGGAAATAAATTCATATTTTTTTCTTTTATCAGATAGAGTGTTCATTAATTGTAAACTGATCACAAAACAAGGTTTGAGTGTAATAAACCCAAAACAAAAATGTAATATACAGTTGCAAGAAAAAGTATGTGAACCCCTTGGGATTACATGGAGTTTTGCATGAATTGGGCATAAAATGTGCTCTGAACGTCATCTAAGTCACAACAATAGAAGAACACAGTCTGCTGAACATAATACTACACAAACATTAGATGTTGCCATGGTTTAATTGCACATAACATGTAAACATTCACAGTGCAGGGAGGAAAAAGTATGTGAGGCCCTAGCTTAATGACTTCTCCCAGAGCTAATTAGAGCCAGGAGTGAGCCAAACTTGACTCCAATCAGTGTGATGATATTGGATGTGTTGCTGACAGCTGTCCTGCCCTTAAAAACACACACCTGTTTTGGGTTTACTGGTTTCAAGAAGCACTGTCTGATGTGAACCATGCCTCGCAGAAAAGAGCTCTCAGAAGACCCATCCAATATCATTACACTGATTGGAGTCAAGGTTGGCTCACTCCTGGCTCCAATTAGCTCTGGTCATTAAGCTAGGGCCTCACA